GCGGCGGTGATTCACCTCGGGTTGGCCGTTTTCGGCCACGCTTGCATCGGTCCCTATGATAGAACAACCCTAGGGCCCTCGGTGGGCCAAAAAATTACGAAAAACTGAAACTTACCGGCGGCAGTGCTCTCGGGTGCGGCGGCTCCTCCGGCATGAGTCGCGTTTTGATGTTTGACTCCGATCAACCTGTAGAGAAAAGAACGGTGATCACAGTGGTATGAAATTTACATCAAACGGAGGCCGGGAAGGGCCTCATCAGAGGCAAAAACTGAGGAGGGGCGCGGTGGCGCTGCTGGGTTTCGACTGAGTTTTTCGGCCGTTTTGCCAGTGGTTTGGCTCCGGTTTGGCCATAGGCGGACTCAGCGTCGAAAAACAAGCAAGGGGGAGAAAAATTACCTCGATCGGCGATCGAAAACTTCCCCGGTGCGGCGGCGGGTGGCGGCGGCCGGCTCTTCCGGCGTCTGGTTCTTCTTCTCCGGCAAGCACTGGCGGCTAGGGTTTCTTTGGTCAGGTGTGGTTGGGGGTATTTATACTCTTTGCCTTTTAATCTTGACCGTCCATCAAGATTGAATCTGGACCGTTCGATCGCGATTGAATTAGGATTAAATCTGGGCCGTTCATCGCGATGCAATCTGGACCGTCCGTGCCTGATTGAATCTGGGCTGTCCGTGCGCGTGAATCTGGGCCGTCCGTGCGCGCGGGAACAAATCTGGACCGTCCCATCGCGCGCACGCGGATCGCCCCCCTGGCCCGTCCCCTGGTCAGCGTGTCCTTGCCACGCGGGGCGTCCTGGTTGGCGGGGACTGCTGACCGAGCCCCTGACGTGGCTGCTGACGTGTGCTGACGTGGCACAATTTTTGAATTACGTTGACCCCCGGTTTCCGATTTTCTTTTCAAAATACCCTAGAATCCAAATTTCACCCCTTTTCCCAAAATCAATTTCAATTAAATCCAAATAATATTTTTACCCAATTTATCATTATAATTATTTTTATTTTCATTGAATTAAATTAAATTAAATTAAATTAAAATCCAAATAAATAAATAAATAAATAATAAAAATAAATAAAATATTTATTTTCATTTGGGTGTCACAGACGATGTGACATCCCAAGTACCAATTAAGGCAAATGGGTGTCAGATACAGATTTAGAATAATGAATTGATGATAATATTTATGCAGCAGAATAAACCTTAACAAATCCCTTACAAATATATATAATGTTCCAAATACATATATAACTGAGGGCAGAAGTGGCAATAAAATACAAAACATAAGGGCTACTTCTCTTACTAAACTACTGGAATTCATCAGAGCGCGGGAACAGTCATGCACTTAGACTTGTGGATCCACGGGATCCTCATAGACTTCTAAGGGTAGGTCTACATATGGTTCCTTATTTTTTTCCTCATTTAGGGGGGATAGAAAGAGTAAGTTCCATATGCTCAGTAAGAAAAATAATATTAAATTAACATAGTAAGATTTCAAAAGTTTATTATTTTATTTCACTGTCTACCTTCCTTGTTGACCTAACTCATCATTAGAAAAAGAAATCATTTATTTGAATATCAAAATAGTACGTTAGCACAGAAAATTAAATATACATATATTATGTCAAATAATTGAGAAAATCAAATAAATCATGAAATGCACAGATATTTCGTGTCATACTTCGCGAAGTCGTTACAAACTTCCATCTCTGAGGGCAGATACAGATTTTTACCTAGTCAAGTAGAATGACTAGATCAAATACAGATACGATAATTTGCTCAGACCCACTTCTGGCTGACCAAACTATGGTACGATCTATGGCCATGAATGTACGAACCATAGTAGTGCTAACAAATATCTATAGTCAAGATATTACTTAGCCACGAGTGACCCCTAAAGATAATATGATACCACTCTCGTTAGAAGGAACGTCGTCATCCATTAGGAGCGGTCTTTTTACGTCTTTCCAGACCATATAGGAGAGGGAGAAACGAATACCCCGAAGGGCAAGGGGAACAGATACCTCGAAGATATAAAAAGTCTAACGAGACACTTGATGCAATATGCATGTCAATACAGACATACTTCGGACCACACATGCTTTATTTCACTTTTCTCTTTTTTTTTTTCTTTTATTATTACGGACTACATTTTACATTTATTACATGCAAATTCATCAAGTGTTAGTAATTTACATAGCATGCTTGAAAATCAGAATAATTCGATTTATTTGAATACAGAAGCATGCAAAACAGATAAAATAACAATCATATTGGATTTGATTATCTAAAAATACTCCTTAAGATGTCGAAAGTAATACTAGATTCCTTATCAAAATCTTGATGTTTTCTTCTTTACTGTTTTCCTTTCTTTTTCTTCTTCTTTCACTATTTTACAGTCTCTCTCTCTCTCTCTAAATCTTGAAAAATGAAAGAAATAGAAATGTGGAGAGGAAGGGAAGGGAAAAGGTAATTTATAGAATGTCAGAATCATTGGATTCACGCCAAGTAGCGAAATCTGGTAAAGAGAGAGGAGAAAAAGATTCTTGACATGAAAAACGAAGGAGAAAAATTTCTTCCACTGGCGGCGGTGGCGTGCCACCCAAGGCAGTGGCAGTATACTGCCCGAGGTGGCAATGCCTGATTGGCGCGCTGTAGGGTAGCTTATAGGCTGTGACAGGCCTGCTACTATGCGCGCAAGGCATAGGCGTATTGGGTGTCGTGCGCGCAAGCCCCAGACGCATAGGGCCTGTCACTGTGCACACATGCGCGCACGCACAGTGCCCAGCACCTACACGGCCAAATTACTTTCTCGGGGGATTTTTTCCGCGAGCAGGTTTTCTTCTATTTTACTATTTTTTGATTTTTTTTTTAAATTTTCTCTTTAAAATAAAATAAAATAAATAAAATAAAAATAGATCAAAATTACAAATTTCAAAAAATGTTAAATAGCGTAAATTAACTTAAGTTTATAGCAAAGCCCAAATAAATAGAGTTTTTAAATTTTAGTACAATGATAGGCGGGGTGGTGCATACGAGATTGGTCGTAATACCTCATATGATAGCAAAATTTTGAGCTCATAGGGTTGTACACATTTACAAGGCAACATATAGAGCTCAAATGGGAGATTGTTGGAAAAATTTTCATTATGTGAACATATATATGTGAGTTAATCTGTATTGTTATTTTAAAGTATAGTTAATTTAATGGGTAGTTTAATAAAATTGATAATTAATTTTAAAATATTAAATTATCATAGATTTAATGTGTAGAGACTAAATTACTATTTCTCATTTGATAAGAGGCCAAATTTAAAATAATAAAAAAAATGTGTCTTTTTAAGGGGTTGTGATCCCAATTTAAAACTGTTGGTATTTTTCTTTCTTTTTTCAATGAACAAACTTATGGACTCTAAAATTATTTCAAATTTAAAGAATCAAACCCTAATCATCTAAGACAATCAATTCCAAAACGGATCAAAGTATGTTTTCGCTAATTTTTTGAGGGTGATTTTGTGTTCTAAGATTTATTTGAATAAACAAATACTTGTTATATAATAGTTATATATACCAAACAGCAAAGATTTTTAAAAATATATATATATATATATATATACTCGTCAAACAATTTCATGTTAACAAATTGAATGAAGATCATCATGAAAGTTTTTTTTTTTGTGTGTATTATTTTATTTTTGATTTATTAGTATTGAATATCAACACTAAACTATAAATTATCTATTGACTGAATAGTAAATATTTTTATTTTTTATTGAAGTATGATTTTTTTGGGAAAAAATCTAATATTATAAGTATTATAATTTAAAATTTATATTATAAATAATATTAGTTAGTAAAATATATAAATTTAGTGTTAAAAATTTGTTTTCAGATATTATAGTTATATGTATATATGTGTATAGATTAAACAAAATCTCCAAAATGTTTGGCGGAAAGCCATTGAAAGTTAAGCAATTCCACAATTAAACCATACAAAATGCTTTGACACACAATTTTAAATTCTGCTTCAAAGGAAACCCATACTGATGAATTTAATTCCAACTCAGATCCCCAAACTCCAATTTTAATTAAATAAACTTTTTAGAAACACGAAATCTATAGTGGGAAAACAGACAGTAAAATAAAAAAAGTTTGCCGAAAAAAGGAATATGAAAACATTAAGAAAAGCATAGATAGAAGGTTATAGGTAGATTCCCAAAAGGGAATTTCTCAAACTTAAACGTGCATATGAAGCACATGCACTCTTTCTATCATGAGATTAATATGCTTATAAGCTTTCATTTCTTCACGTAACAAATATAGATTTTACATTACGCATGCCACGTGGCTACAGGGAATATTTTATAATTATAATTATAATTTTTTTAATTCTTAGCCGGTTAAGCCGAGCCGATAAAGCGGTCGGAAAGTGGTCAGTCCTCTCTTGTGTACGTATTTGCATTACGGCTCAGTCAAACTATCCAGCTCCGAGAAACGTGGACCCACTCCACTACTGATTTCTGGGTCCCACCATATCACACCGATTAAAAACTGGACTCCTCTTGCGGTTTTTCCAGTTATAACTCTCTTGTGTACACCTACACCTACACCTACACCTACACCCTTCTCTTTTTCTCTGTACTACTACTATATCTATATATACACATACCCACCTGTACATACATACACAAGTATTTGTTTATTGTGTAAGGAATAATAATGTCTAAGTAACTGTTACTATCATTCATCTTTCTATCGCTCTCCTGGACGTAATCAGAACACATTTATGTGTCATATTTCTTTTCTGTTCTCTCGTCACTAAACTCATCTTCACTCCTTTGCTTTCTGTGCTTATAAAAGGCCTCCCACCTCCAAATCTCTCTAAACCCAACTGACACTCTTTACAACTCCATTCTTTCTTTCGTATTCCTCTATATCCCGCTTTATCTGTTAGCAAGCGACATTTGTTTCCATTGTTAATCTTCACTTGTCCTGCTTCTCTACAAAAAATGGCGGGGTCAATGACAACCCCACGTCCATGCACATTGCCATCAACTCCTCTAAGTAAAGCTACAAGGCACGTCAAGTTTCAGTGCTGCACTGTCACCACCCAAACAGTCAGATCTAACAAAAGATTGGAAAACTGGGAACGCTTGCTTAACCCGGTTGAGTACTCTAATCCCGCCTCCCCTTTTACTTCTAAACAGGTTAAACTCGGGAAAAACTGGAAGGAGTATCAAGGTATCCGAAATTGGGATGGCCTACTTGATCCATTAGACGATAACCTGCGCAGTGAGATTCTCCGTTATGGCCAGTTTGTAGACGCTGCGTATAAGTCCTTTGACTTTGATCCCTCCTCGCCAACCTATGCTACATGCCAGTTTCCCAAAAGCACATTGCTGGAATGCTCTGGTTTACCAGAAACTGGGTATCGCCTGACAAAGAACTTACGTGCCACGTCAGGTATCCAGCTGCCACGTTGGATTGAAATGGTACCCAGCTGGGTGGGAATACAGTCCAGCTGGATAGGCTACGTGGCAATCTGTCAAGACAAGAACGAAATCTCCCGGTTGGGACGAAGAGATATCGTGATTTCATTTAGAGGTACAGCAACTGGACTCGAATGGCTTGAAAACGTTCGAGCCACTCTCACTCCACTCCCCGACAGACCCGAAAACGAACCCGGTCCAATGGTTGAAAGTGGATTCTTGAGCTTATATACCTCTGGAACTCCCACATCCCCGAGTTTACAACAAATGGTAAGAGAAGAGATCTCGCGGCTGCTACAATCGTACGGCGATGAGCCTGTTAGTTTAACCATCACAGGCCATAGCCTCGGTGCTGCTCTCGCCACCCTAACGGCGTACGATGTTAAAACCACCTTTAAACGCGCGCCAATGGTGACGGTCATCTCATTCGGCGGGCCACGTGTCGGAAACCGGAGCTTCCGTCAGTGTCTGGAAAAACAAGGAACCAAGGTGCTACGTATAGTGAACTCAGATGATCTCATCACTAAAGTTCCCGGCTTTGTGATCGACGGCGACGATCATATCGAACCCAAAAACAGAAATGTAAACATGAGCAGGTTGCCAAGCTGGATTCAGAAACGGGTGGAGGAGACGCAGTGGGTGTACGCGGAGATTGGGAAGGAGCTGAGGTTGAGGAGTAGAGACTCGCCGTATCTAAATAGGATCAACGCAGCTACGTGTCACGAACTGAAAACATATCTCCACTTGGTGGATGGATTTGTGAGCTCCACGTGTCCGTTTAGAACCTCAGCCCGCAGAGTTCTTAATAACCCTGCAAAGCAAAAAGTTCGTAGCTAGAATTGAAGGTACATTAATGATGGATATTATACGCAATCCAAGATTTTTCTTCTTTGTTTTCCGTACGTTGTACCGGCAGTTTCTGTAAATAGATAAATAGTAAAGTAGTCATTTCCCGACATATCCGGGAAGAATTACCAGAGTCATTTTTTTGTAGGAAAAACAAGAAAATTCCCAACGATTTTCTTGACTCGGTGTTAGTCAACATACAACAGATCAGCTGGGAAAACAAGTTTTCAAAAGATTATTGCATTAGAAAAAAATAAAGGAAGACGACTGATCTGTAATTCAAAGCTCTGAAAGATTTTGGTAGCAGTACTACAACATACGGAGACGAAGGTTAGAGACGTTCAGATATGGTTTTTTGGGAAAGGCAAATATTGTTTTTATCTTCGGAAGAGGTGTCACGTGACAAGGTCTGAAATGACTAAAGTACCCTCGACTTTGACTAAAAATTTCAAAACTGGCCACGGATGCACCGACCTGTTTGTGTGTGGACGATGACTGTATTGCCACGTTTACTAACTTTATTTGGTCTCATTCTAAACTCACAAATCTATCAGGCGCCGTCCATACCGAACAGTGGTCGGCTCAACTGTAATCACTTATTTGCCCTTCTAAAACACACACATGTATGCATATATATATATATATATATAGATTATTACTGCCAATATCATAGCCGACAGAAGAGTGCATGCCTACACACCTGAGCTCTGTTTTCTCTTGCAATATCACAATGTATAGCATATTTGACGCCTACTGGGGCATGGTTAATTAGCAACCAGAAATTATTAATTTATAGAAATAAATGATGATGTAAGACAAATGATACTTTTATATTAATAATAATAAAACCTACTACGAAAACATATGTAAAATTATATAAAACATATGAAAACATATGAAATAGGTAGTTCGTAAATCAAACTCAGACTTTAATAGAACACGTAAGAAATATGTACTTAATATTCACTTAATTAATCGTGGATAAGAAAAATAATATCTGTAGAAAGAAAAGTCAAAATAAATATGACTTTTAGATTAACGAAAACATTAATTAGTTTCTTTCAGTATTGATTCCAGTTACTAGTCTTGTGCATGACTTGCATGCTGGTTGCCATATGTAAGATATACATATATATATATTATGTATATATATATATGTTCCCTCAGAAGCTGTAATACTCACCAACTGCAGTTTGACAAAGGGATCACGCACTAAACGGGTGCTTCACTAATCACATAGCTTTGTTTCTTGTCTGTCTAGTCAATTAATTAATCTACATCAAAGCCTAAGATTGGGGTTTGAAATTAAGCCTGCTCATTAATTATATATATAATGAATGAGTCATGCTGGGTGTTCTATGTATCTTCTCCTGCTTTTGGTCTTTCTTGGTTGTGGATTGTCTTTGTGTATTTCTTTATCTAATTAACTTCTTACCTCGCCAAATATATATATATATATATATATGCACACACACACACATAGATTAGATGAACAAGTAGCGATTGAATTAGGATATAACCATGAAAGAGCAATTTAAGCCATAGGTTATGAAGTTGTAGAGGAGTGCCAAAAGTAACTTCTAAGTCGTTTGACTGAATTTAACTTGGTTTTAAGCTCATACAGTGATAATTTCACCCGGTTTTTAAGTTTAAATTGTTCACAACTTGAAAAGTTTTTATATTACTTGACTTATTTTCTGTTTTCAAGATTTAAAAAGTTGTTAAATGACAAAAATAACAAATAATTATTATTTCAATTAACAAATTATTTCTTTTTAGAATTCAATATATAAAGAGATGTAGATATAAATGCATAATAGTTTCAAACAGTGAAAGATTAAGAGATATATATATATATATATTGATAAAAAAATTATGAAAAATGCTAAAAGAACTATTGAGTTAAAAACTTTTGTAATCAAAATATACTACAATTTCATTTCAACAAAAAAAAAATTAATTAATCCAAAGACTCTCTTAAATATTGAAAGAATATACTTTACAAAAATAAAATGTAATGTACAAATAAAATAATAATCTCATTTAAAAAACACGAAAAGTCATAACATCTTATGAAAATAAATTATGATTCGGAAAATGTGTTTTATAAAATAAATAAGATATTTAAGGAAGAGACTTCACGTTAGAATGAGATGATGCACAAAATATATCTTTTCCTATTATTTAGTCAATTAATTAATCCCATTGAAAATATATTTTTGCATCTTCTATATATTCATATACATCTCAAAAATTGCGTTTTACCAACTCAATAAAAATCTAGCATATATATAACAAGAGAACTTCAATATTGTAATGTGATGCAAGTCAAAGAATGTCTGGCATGGTCCAAAATGTGGGGAAGATAGCCAGAGTGCGGCTGTACTGGTTTTCACCCCAGCAACATTATGTACTGCGGCGATCAATAATAACCACCATGCATGTATCTACGTCATCATGGACAATTCTTAAAACGGCACCAATTATTGCATCCAATTATTAATATCTGATGTAATGTATGTATATATGTGCACCTACATATACAAGTCTATGCGTTGAGTGCTTAGAACGTAGCTGGTGAACCAGTTTACATTAAAAGAGAAATATATATATATATATGCTTATAAAGCTATCTTCTTGAACAATCCATAAAGATAATGAAATTTATTTATAAAGTTTATCCTTTATTCAATTAGCTATAGAAGTAAATTATACTAGGATGATAAAAATTTAATTAATCATATTTCATATAGAACTGAAATAATACATTTCAAATTCTAGTGAAATTGATTAACTTTAGAGTGTTTATATATTCTAATTCACATAAAATTTTATTTGAACCCAACTTTAATTATTTTAGTACAATTTTCACTATCTTACATTTAAAATAAATATAAAATAAAATAATAAATTTATTCTAAAAATATTTTTAATGATATTTTTTACCATGACAAGTCCCCTTCCCCGGTTGTTCCCATGGCCTATTGAACGTTAGGGGGAGTGAAGGTCCTTATGAGGCTAGCAGAGCCTTTTTTCTCACCATTGAGTGCCTTTTTATTTTCTTTTTTTCGCACAATCTGCTTTATGCAGATTAAGGTGTCCTTTTGCTATAGTTTAGACTGTTGATTCCATCTATCTTATGTGCTCTTTGTATTTATTTGCACAAGAATTATTCAAGATATACCTATGTTGGTCTTCTAGTCATTAAAACCTACAATACTTGTATACCATCAAGTTAGTTCTTGTAATTTGTCAAAGTAGATTGAGGATTGTTAGATACAATAACACCTAAACGTAAAATGAGAGGGAGATGGACGATTGTTGGGCATTCTTCACTTCATGAGTAATTGGGGGTACTCAATGAATGTTGTATGAGATTTTTTTTAATAGTCTCTGTGCCTTTTCTAATCAACTAGCTCAATCACAAGCTACAACAAGGAGTAGGAATGGATGATGAACTGTTGTTTCTTTCAATTGTCTTTTATCATGACTGTTTTTTTTTTATTCTCCATATAATTTGTGCTTGTCATGTGAAATTTTTCATAATATCAGCATTGTGTCTACATTTTTAGTACTTATTAATAAAGCTCACCTTATTTTGCACACACAAAAATCCTATATAATTACATGCGCTTGTGTTATTGACACTTGCTAAAATGCTTAGGCAAATAAGGTGAGTAACCTGTCAATAAGAATATTGATAATTGATATTTGTATATCAAATTATTTTATATCTTATCTTTTGTACATGATGTTCTATATATAATACTCGATGTAAAGAATATAAAAAGATGCTCCTTAATTTTCCACTTTTGGTGCGCGATACAGAAGAATAGAGCAAACATAATGAAATAAAGGGAAAAAAATTCTTATATGAGGAATTTGACAAGAACCTATATGAATAGTTCTTGTTCTTTCATTTTCCAATTATGATTTATGTTAATTCACACCTCCTAAGGCTTTTAACATTTTAATTAATAAATTTTATTGTGGATGAATGATAATATCACACACTTAAAATAGATTAGAATAAAAATAATGCTTACAAACTATAAGCTTAACTAACGAGTCTACACGACGAGATAAAGGTCTCATAGTTTCTCGTCTCATATTGTTAATATTTAAAATTGGACCAATTGACTTTCTAGCATCATTTCTTACTTCTAATAAGATCGGTGAAAATTTTTATTTATTTTCAAATTTTAAATTTATTTTTTTTGATGATTTCTTTTACCTTGAGTCATCCATGTTGTGACAACAAGTAGTTAAATTAGGCAAGATAAACCCACCAAGGTAGAGACACGTGTTTCTACATATATATGAACACATTGTAAAATAGGATAATTATAGGCATAAAATCGCCATAGAGGATTATGTAGTAGAACATGCAAACAAACATGTTCCCTATTTTTTAAAAATAGGAAAAACTCTAGTTTACTCTAGAAGTAGAATTTTATATTGCCCCATCTTCTCTTACCTTCTTCTACTATGCTTCTTCCTCCAATCCAACTTTATCCTGCTCTGTTTCGGATGATGTATCAAGACAAATTTATAGTCTTAATCCATCTCCTAAAGGTATTAATTTATGGGTTAATTATGACATATAGCATGACTAAATTGGTAGTTTAAAATGTCACTTCACTAAAACTATAACACCTTCATTTGTAGGACTTTATACACCTTGTTGAAATCATCAAACAAGAAAGAAATTTTTTCTCTTATCTCTTTTATCTTCTTCAAGTTTTGACATGATATTAGAGTCATAATTAGCTTATTGACTTCACATCCCTCTTCATTTATTCCTCAAATAATTGTTATTCCCATATAAATACCCTCAACAACCCATAAAGATTCCTATTATGTGTTTTCAATCAAACTTGAAACCATGAATTATCTTATGTTGAAAACACATATATTTTCATCTTTAGTTATACAAATATTCAAAGATTTCTAGATGGAACATTACCTTGCACCCAACTTTTACTTGACCC